TTATACATACATTGATCATATAAAATGTACCTTCTCGACCGTCTTTGATAAGATAGTGTCGTATAGATATAATAAATATAACACCTATAAATATAGTGGGTTTTTTTTATTGAGAGGTGTAGTCGTTTGTCAGTATAACATAGCATTATAAAACCTATATCACCTGGTCATATTATAATACCGATACCATCAACATATATATGACAGGTACATTATAAAACAGTCAGCTATCCATAATACCGATACCATCAACATATATATAACAGGTACATTATGAAACAGTCAGCTATCCATAATACCGATACCATTAACATGACAGGTACATGATAAACTCAGCAGCCTGTCACTTATATTACTTGAAAGGTTCATGGATAGTTCCCTTGAGGTCTGGGAATAACAGACAATGTTTATTTTAACCACTCACGTTCAATGTAGACCAAACCTTTATGTAACAGCTCTGATGGGTAATCATGGAATGTATTTATAACGTTTTGCTCACCTTATACCATTATATATCCGTTCTTTCCAAAATTCATTTGATGTCTTTTTTATATTGATATATAGTTAAAAAATAAATATTTTATAATGATACATAATATATTATCCGCAGTATTATTTATAACTTAAGATTTATGTAAAGCACTAGTACGCAGATGTAAGAAGGTTGATTTCCATTTTTCTACAATACTTGATAACACTTAAAATATCCTTTTGCATTTTAGACATTTTGTTTTTGTAATTTACCATGATGAGTACGCCATATAGTAGACTGGTTACCAGCCCCTTATTTTTTATGAAGAATTTCCCAGCTGCATTTTACTACTAGCTTATCTCCCCCTAGTTTAGAATAAGACATCCAAGTGATCAAATGTTTTTAGAGTTAAACTTTTTTCTTAATAATTCAATATTATAGAGACGGTTGCCAGACTAGCCATATAGTATCGATGCCTGTTTGATTTCATTCAGAATACAGTACACACCTACAGGCATGAGTAAAACACAACATTCACTCCGACACACTTACGTGTGTAACAAGAGGTCACATACATATAGTAAATATGATACATGGCGTGTGATGATTAGTACAATATTACAACATTTTCTGCAAATAATGATACTTGACTATAGCATAGTTACATAGAGAAGGAGCACAACCTTGTATAGAAATTAAGTTAATACTTTGTCAAGCTTTTCTAGGAATCTACAAACTTTGGTGTAAATGTTTACATTAAATATATTAAACAATCCTTGCATTTTGATTTGACTTGGATAAGTAAAATAAAATTTGGTATATATTTCTCTCTTAGACATTTAACTGAATCACTTTCACATTTGAATTAGTAATGAAATACATCTCCAAGGTCGTATATACATAATGTACAGGTTCTTTCTTGACGAGGAATACCTAACCATCTTCCTTTTTCTACGGGTAAATGCATATTGGATCAGCGGAATTTATTAAACAGTGTCCTGCAAAATTTAGTACTAATTACAATGTACATGTATAAGGAAACACTTTTGTCTTACCCTGTACAGGTGTATCAACAACTTTTCCGATGTGATTTATTCTTTTCTACCTCCCCCTCCCCCCACCTCCATTAGACACCCACATTCTTCCGGTTAGGGAAAGGAATATCCGTCTTACCCAAGGATACAGACGGGGAAATTTCCCTGATAACAATTGTATGACGTCACGTCAACACAAGGTCACGGAATATAACTTCGTCTTGCTAGAAATCATGATATCAGCATATGTATTTCATGAAATTGCAACTGGTATTTGATGTGGCAGAAAACTTACCATTCCTCACTTTAAGAATAAGACTGAAATAGTTCAACTCTTGGTAAGATTATCGGCAAAGCCTCGGGTTAGACATTTAAGAAGCTTAGCCCTCGGATTTAAATTTTCTGTCCTACCCCCAATGTTGGGAAAGAATACATTAATTTCATCCAAGGATCGAAACGAGTGAATTCCCAAGCCCAGTAAAACAAACAATTACATGACGTCACGTTTAAATGCTTTGAGTATGTATCATCAAAATCTCATTATGTAGATGACTGGGTTAACAGTGTTAGAGAAAAATAACTAATATCCCCTGGAGGCGACACATGGAATCTCAACCCGATTGGAAATATTTTAAAGTTGAGATTCCCCTAACTCACCCAAAGTAGGTTCAATGTTCTATTAATCACAACTCTGTATCTCGAAGAATGAAAGTCAAAAACAGTATTCCTCTTATTTTGGATCTTCCCTTTTGTTTAAACAGTTGTTTAAACAAATTTGGATTTCCACTGGCAACGCTGAAAGGCCCTGTAAGGACGAAACAGCGGTGTCGTACGTTCATCCTAAATAGGGCTGGCTTGATTCCCTTTTTTAACTCTTATGTATACTAAAAATGTCATACTTTCTGTTGGATTTTTTTTTTTTTTTTCAGATTATATACTGCACACTTTATCTCATTTGAACGATGTCTGTTTTAGTGGTGTTTGTTTGGAAAACATTGTTTTCTTGTTCTGGTATATGTTAGCTATCCTCATCCTCGCTTTCCGTACCTTTCATAAGCAGTACAATAGCAATTAGTAATTTGAGTCACAGATTCATTATATTCGGTTTTATTCGTTAAATTCAGATGTTTCAGATCGTTTATGCTAGTTATTATATAATTGTGTGTTTTCTGTCTTCATTATCACTTCCGATCATTTTATTTCACCCTGATTTTCTTATCGCTCTATTTCATATGGTGGCTTGTATATGACATTTCGTTTTTTCGCTTTGTCGCCCGCGAAATAACGCCAAGCGAAATACACGAAATAATGAAAAGACGTAAACCCGCCAAAGCGCCAAAAATATGAAAGAAAATCCCGTTTCGTTGAAGATACCTTTATGGTTAATCAATTTGAACGAAAGAGTATCATCGTTTTGCATATGTAAAGCCAGTCGTACTGTAGTAATATGCTGCTGAGTTTGTTTTCATTACTACAAATGTAGTTATTCTATTCCAAAAACCTAACATTCTTAGTGAAACATGTATTTCCAATGGCACACGACCTAGCTCGCCATAAATCATAATATTAGGCGTTGTAGATCTCCCTTTAAGTATTCTTTTACAAAACTTAAGATGAATCTGTTCGATCATTTTCAGGTTTTCGAATCCCCATACATCCTATCCATACCATAGAATCGGTTTCACTAAAGAATCAAATATTTTTAATTGTAAATCTATAGGAAGAGAAAGGTTCCTGATTTTTTTATATATAGCATATATTGAACACATGATTTAATATAATTATACATGTTATATATAACTTTGAAACATTTCCCGTTTATATTGCTGCTATGTAATTTTTGCCCCAGACCTGCTCTCCAGACGTTATCAAATGCCTTTTTAAAATCAATAAAGGTACAGTATAGCTTTTTGCCGCTTGAAAGATATATAGAAATGAGAATATGCATAATAAAAACGTTGTCAATAGTTGAATGACCTTTTCTGAACCCTGCCTGATTTCGAGATATTAAATTAATTTGTTTTTCATTTTCGTTAAGGCGGGTATTGATAATTGAAATAAATAGTTTACCAAGACAACTAATTAAAGTGTAGCTCTATAATTATCTGGGTCTTCTGGACTTCCCTTATTTTTCTATATTAAGGAGGCACGGTAGTCCAGTGGTAGGACGCCGGGCTCGTGACCGAAGGGTTGCGGGTTCGCGCCGCGGCACGGCAATGTGTTGTATCTTTGAGCAATACTTTACTCCGCTTGTTCCAGTCTACTCAGCTGTAAATGAGTACGTGGTTGGGCAGTGTTAGAATTGTTGAATGCTAGCTGTTAGCGCCGAAATGGCAGTCCGGCAGTATGCTCCCCAGGGAGTTGAGAAATGTATTAGCTGGTTGCAAAGGCCCTATAACCACGTATAATAATTTGAGAACCGCTTTGAGACGGCCTACGAACTAGGTTGTGATAAAGCGGTATTTTCGAACCTCCAATTAGTATTATTACTATTGGTTTAATAATAACCCAATGTCTAATATCATGTTGACCAATTTACAATAGACTGTGGTCATTTCCGGTGGGGAATTTTTCAGATATTCATTTAAAACGCGGTCCGAGCCTGACGCTTTATTATGTTTTAATAATTTTATTGCTCTTTGTATTTCTGATTCAGTAATTGGTCTATTCAATGTATTGTTGACGTCATCATCATTATCTTCAAAACTGTCGTTTGCAACCTCGTCATTATTACTGTCCTCTTCAAGTGAATAAAGTTTCTTAAAATAGTCATATAGGACGTCAATAGGTATGTCTGATGTAGTATTATTATTTTTTGATAATTTATAAAGTGTCTTCCATAATGCTTTAGGGTTTCGTTTGGAATTCTCTCTTAATTCTTTTGTGCATTTCTCTTGATACATACATTTAGGAAGCCAAACCTAAGTTCAGTTGACTTATCTGGTGCAATGTTTGAGGTGTCCAATGTGTTGTCCTATAGGCAGTCTCTCGTTGAGCATGGGTGTCGGGTTGGGGATCTGATGAGAGGTTGTCAATCACGTGTCATGGATTGAACGCAGTTATTCTGGGCTGTAAGTTATGTTGCCATCAATGTGTTGTCGTAAATGTTTTGTTTGACCCGGATCACCGACAGTTACCTAAGGGAATCTAGCTGACTTTTGTTATACTATATAATTTATTTAACTTTAAAAAATATCTAAGAGAGGATTACAAGAAGGACATAAAGAAAGACACAAATATTTAGATTAATACACATTTTCGTTCACAAATTTGCTCAAATTGTGTTTACTGTAAACGTTTTTTTATACGCATACTATTTCTTTTGGTGAATGTTATAACCACGGGATTAGATTGTTGTTATAACATATATATATATGGTATATAACGATGGTCGTGTTTACCTGTCTGCTGTGTGGACACGTCCAAGGTAATGGCTATAGACGACACCTGTCATTCACCCATAGTTCTGTACAATGATGGACAGGCATTTGTAATCCCATACTGGTCAGTTACACGATCTATAAACATGGGACGTGTGGGGGAACTCGCCATGACACTTTTCATGGAGACTAACTGACAGCAGACAGGAATTTTCACAACAGCGGCGGAGACATCTCCATACTGGTATGTTATTTTTTTTATAGATAATGAATTTAAGGTACTTTTTTTCAAATATTCCTATAGATTTTTTAACTTAAATTTTGGAGGGGTGTTTTACTGATTACTGATAATGCTACTTCATACTTTTTAGTATTTGTTACATGCTTAAAGGCATAGCATTGTATGTACTTGATATATCATTATTTTTTTATATTTTGAAAAAAAACCTTAATCATATTTAACCACGCTCCATTCATTGACCTTCTGTCACGAAGAATAATATAGTGAGTTATTCTTTCATGAATCATACCTTTTTCTAACTGAATGTTGATATTTCGGAAATCAATTAAATTTTAAACACATTTTTTAAACCGTACCGTTGTTAATATCCGCCTGAACGGGGTGTTCTCAGTTCCCCCACTTTTTAGAGAACAAATTAAAGAAACGTGTTGATATAGGAAGACGATGGCAAACCAATTATAGTCTGTTTCATACTTATCCCACAGGTAACTTACCTGTGAGAAAATTACCTAATTTAAGGTTAATATTTGAAATTAATGTATGCATATACACATGATACAATCATTACATACATGATGTACAATATAGATATCACAATAACTAAATAGTAACAGTTTACAGTCAAATATATCAATACTCACTTAGTATACATTACATGTCATTTACATTTCACTTTTTAAGCCACCAAATACAAGACAAGTTAAAATATATACTTAAAGAGCTATGGCGGAAAACTGCCCATATTTCTCAGAGTCGGCATTTATGAATACGGAAAAAAAATGAGTAAATAAGTCCGAGTATCGAAAATGCATGGAATAGATATCAAACCAATAGAATATGAATTTTTGAACTGTTGAGATATTCGGTATTGTAAATATAATGCTTTAAATATAGCCATATTCACTATATCTATGAAAGGGATGGGGTTTACCCGACTTAACAAATACTTCATACCTTCCCATCCGGGGACCAACTTTTGAATACATTTTTTGATTCCGTGATGTACGTAATATGCACAAATAAATCGTATGACGGAAAGTGGTCCTCCTTTGGCTGTTTGGGAAAGTGCTCAAAATAACGAAAAACATGGTTAATCAATACTTACCAACCTGAAGAAAATGTTTAGAAATGGTTGATCAAGTTTCTCAAAACTGCGACAGGTGTTTCTTGGGTTAAAACAGATTATATTTCCATATGTGTAACGCAGTTTACCTTTGACCAGAAGAAGCGAACGGTGCAAGTTCGAATCCATGTTCAGATTAACTTTTTTTAACATTTAGGCATGGAATCTTTTCCCTTAAGTAATGAAATATTTTTCAAATCAGTGGAACATTTTATTGAATTATTTTGATAACATAAATATCGATATATCTTCTATGGGTTCATGTCATCGAGTTCCTGTACACGTGTACAGTACAGCTACGCTTTGCAGATAAGACATCATTTTAAATGATATTTGTGAATTGTTTTACCCTCCAATTGGCACTAGTAATTGTATTTGTTATTTAAACACAAACAAATGATGCCGAAATGCAATCTATGTGAGATTGTTGCCTCAAAATAAAAAAAGCCAAGCAAAAATAAAAGAACTGTAATTATTGCAAATATACACTAAAGTCTGATAGTCAAATGTCACACATTTTTGTTGCAATCTATCCCAGATGTAAGAGATGTGATTCTGCGTTCCCGTACTCCATTATCTTACTTGTCAGCATAGGCCGTGATCTCTTTAGCTCACCAGTACAAAATTATTACAAAATAAAATAACACATTTCATTTTGTTATGTCATATCAGCAGCACAAGAACAACAGAATGGATCTATTTAATACATTTATATATATACATACAATGCATGATTAATATTGAAATATTTTAAATTTAAAATTTGTTATTAAAACTCTGAAAATCTTATATGATGTATCGTTGAATTAAATGTGATCAGCTTCAAGCTTAGAAAGAAGGGTTAACCAAAGATAAAAAACACGGGTAAATACTGTCAATACCACTCAGAAACAGACTATAATCCTTCTTTTTAAAAAGTGGGGGAACTGAAAACAGGCCACTTGAACGTAACCCGAGGATTTGCCGAGATTCTTACCAAATACATTGTATGTGTTACTTGTTACATTTTTACAAATTACATTGTATTTGTTACTTGTTACATTTGTACAGATTACTTTGTATTTGTTACTTGTTACATTTGTACAGATTACATTGTATGTGTTACTTGTTATATATATACAGATAACATCAAATTTGTTACTTGTTACATTTGTACAAATTACATTGTATTTGTTACTTGTTACATTTGTACAAATTACATTGTATTTGTAACTTGTTACTTTGTACAAATTACATTGTATTTGTTAATTGTTACATTTGTTAAAATTACATTGTATGTGCTACTTGTTACATTTGTACATATTACATTGTATTTGTTACTTATTATATATATACAGATTACATCATATGTGTTACTTGTTACATTTGTACAAATTACATCGTATTTGTTCCTTGTTACATTTGTACAAATTACATTGTATTTGTTACTTGTTACATTTGTACAAATTACATTGTATGCGTTACTTGTTACATTTGTACAGTTTACATTGTATTTGTTACTTATTATATATATACAGATTACATCTTATTTGTTACTTATTATATATATACAGATTACATCTTATGTGTTACTTGTTACATTTGTACAAATTACATTGTATTTGTTACTTGTTACATTTGTACAAAATACATTGTATTTGTTACTTGTTACATTTGTACGGATTACATTGTATTTGTTACTTATTATATATATACAGATTACATTGAATTTGTTACTTGTTACATTTAATCAAGTCACATTATATTTGTTACTTATATATGTACAGACTACATTGTATTTGTTACTTGTTACATTTGAACAAATTACGTTGTATTTGTTACTTGATACATTTCTACAAATTACATTGTATGTGTTACTTGTTACATTTGTACATATTACATTTTATTTGTTACTTATTATATATATACAGATAACATCATATTTGTTACTTGTTAGATTTGTAAAAATTACATTGTATTTGTTACTTGTTACATTTGTACAGATTACATTGTATTTGTTACTTATTACATTTGTACAGATTACATTGTATTTCTTATTTGTTACGTTTGTACAGATTACATTGTATGTGTTACTTGTTACATTTGTACAGATTACATTGTATTTGTTACTTATTACATTTGTACAGATTACATAGTATTTCTTATTTGTTACGTTTGTACAGATTACATTGTATGTGTTACTTGTTATATATATACAGATAACATCAAATTTGTTACTTGTTACATTTAATCAAGTCACATTAAATTTGTTACTTATTATATATGTACAGACTACATTGTATTTCTTACTTGTTACATTTGTACAGATTACATTGTATTTGTTACTTATTATATATATACAGATTACATTGAATTTGTTACTTGTTACATTTAATCAAGTCACATTATATTTGTTACTTATTATATATGTACAGACTACATTGTATTTGTTACTTGTTACATTTGTACAGATAACATTGTATTTGTTACTTATTATATATATATACAGATTACATTGTATTTGTTACTTGTTACATTTGTACAGATTACATTGTATTTGTTACTTGTTACAGTTATACAAATTACATTGTATTTGTTACTTGTTACATTTGTACAGGATACATTATATGTGTTACTTGTTACAGTTATACAAATTACATTGAATTTGTTACTTGTTACATTTGTACAAATTACATTGTATTTGTTACTTGTTACATTTGTACAGATTACATTGTATTTGTTACTTGTTACATATGTACAGATTACATTGTAATTGTAACCTGTTGCATTTGTACACATTACATTGTATTTGTTACTTATTATATATGTACAGACTACATTGTATTTGTTACTTGTTACTTTTGTACAGATTACATTGTATTTGTTACTTGTTACATTTGTACTGATTACATTATGTTTGTAACTTGTTACATTTGTACAAATTACATTGTATTTGTTACTTGTTACATTTGTACAGATTACATTATATTTGTTACTTGTTACATTTGTTCAAATTGCATTGTATGTGTTACCCGTTTCTTTTGAACAGATAACATTGTATTTGTTACTTGTTACATATGTACAGATTACATTGTATTTGTTTCTTATGTGTCGTTCACATATAGAAACTACAAAAGGTAATGTATCACGTATATACCAATCATATTAATTGATTAAGATTATTTGATTATATAGACCATGTTGTCCCATATAGGTTCTGACTTTTTTGTACCTTATAGTAAATCATATTACTCTTTCAGGTAATGATTTTGGATTTAAATTTTCTTTTGATACATGCCTATGAAGTAGACAGGAGTCGTATAGACGCAAACAATTTTCGGCGCATTCGAATGGTACGTTTAAGTACATTCAAGTGAGAAAAATATGTTATATCATCTGTATTTCCTCCAAATTGAAGAGCATGATAATACATGAATGATACATTATTTACAAAATGATAACAATCGTGATTCTAGTCTAAATTCTTTAAAATCAATTTCATTAAAATGATAGGTCGTTGGGCCTCCTAGTAAAATATGAGTTAATGAATACTGAGTTCAATACTTGAAATGCAGGCAAGTATTCACCATAAATTGTTACGAAGATTTTCTGTTACAGAACAATGCAAAATCACATGAGATACAAAATCTGTGTAGAAATAGCCACAATGATGTCATAAAAGCTGTATGTTTTACTTACACGTATAGATACAATCAATTTCATTATATATCCGATATTGTCAAGAAAATGTGTATGACGCCAAGCTAATTTCCATAAATAATGAGGTTTTAGACAGTCATGTAGCAATACATGTAACAATCGTGTTAGGTCTGTGTCACTAGACATTCTTTGCGTCTATGTATGAGTTTCATAATTTGTTACCGATTAATAAATCAATGATTTCCAATACATTTTATTTGGAAAAACACCATCATCTAGAAATAGTACAATGTTTTAATTTATATTATACTTCTTTAGTATTCTGACAATGTCTGGTATATAACCCTTTTGACTATAACTATTATTAACTGTATACATAAAATACCTCCAAACGAATACTCTGCAGATCCTGCCTAAAGACAAAAGCTTTTTAATATTGATATAGGCCTCTGTAGAAAACCATCCGATTAAAGAAGTGCACATATCAGTTCTTGTTCTTTTCCCGAAACCTTGGATTGACTTAACAATAAAATGTTGGGCTCTCTCTAACATCAATAACTCAGTATTTGAAAGTACCCAGAGTTCACATCCGTAAACCGCAGACAGGTAGACTTTCTTTTTTACAATTTTAGCAACAGTTAATGCGTTTAGTGAGCATTGATGTGCCCCAGAACGTACAAGGGCCATAGTGTATATCCGTGTACATAACATTTAAAATATTCCACACTTTACCAGTAAGGCCAATATCATACAATTGTACTAGTAGACCGTCGTGCCAAACGGTATCAAACGCCTTAGAGCTATCTAAAAACGACACATATACATCTGAACCATTTTCCATATTATAATATACACATTCCTGCAAATTTAACGCAGTACAAAGACTGCATAGATTCTTCTGATATGCTGACTGTTGCTTGTTTGGGAATACATCAGACTCTATTATATTGTTCATTCTCTTTGCGAATAATGATTTACGATTTAAATTTGCTTTGATACTGACAGGAGTCATAAAGACGCAAACAATTTTCGGCGCGTTCGAATGGGACGGTTAAGTACATTCAAGTGAGAAAAATATGTTAGAGATGGAGGAAAACCAAGGGTCAGTCGGGAATGGCACAAACTTTCATATGAGTCTAACTGCGCAAATATCGGTTCATATTTGCTTCGGATATAAAACGCTGAAATTTCAATTTGTTGGTAAGAACGAAGAAGGAACGTGTAGCTTTCGCGTTTTTCATAAGTTCTACACGGAGAACTCGAAATTGTTTGGCATTATGCCACCTGTCTGTAGCTATTAACTGCCTATAATGTTTCTGTACCCTGTTAGTCACGACTCATATAATATATCCCAACATATTACCTTACATGTTCACCTACCTGTTGTTGATTAGATTTTTCAACTAATGTTTGCTTTTGTTTTATATAGTTTGTCATCTATATGTCTATTTTTTGTAGTTTCAGGAATGGATTTCTATCGAAAAGTAGAAAACAAAGTATCCGGGGCATTCGTCTCTTACGGGCGCTTCATCTCTCGAAGGCCATGGTCCGCCATCATCTTTAGTGTAATGCTGAACGGAATTCTGGGAATTAATATATACTGGCTCTCCCACGATACAAATCTTGAAAGATTGTACAATCCCACAGACAGTCAGGCGGAGAGAGATCGAGCTGAGGCCAAACGAATCTTCCCTGATGCGAGTGCGACCAATTTTGAGCACCATAGTTTGAATGACCTTGGTCTCTATGGTGAGGTCATTGTGAGACCAAAGACAGGCGGCAACATACTCAACAAGACTTATATTGAAGATATTAAGAACCTATTTGCCACCATTAGAAACACTTCTGTGACGGCAGACGATGGCGAAGTTTTTAACTACGAAAGTTTGTGTGCCAGGCGTGATGGCATGTGTATTGTTGATGGCTTGTTCGTACTCACCGACGATTTTTGGACAAAATTTGAATTGGGACAAGTAGAAGATGACATATTGTTTGGGATCAGCACTTTGGGAGAACCTAAGTTTATAAACGGTTCGTTGTTGTCGGCTACAGGTATCAAGATGCAGTATAACCTTCGACAGGACACTACGGCCTACAAGTCCCTATCAAAGCGTTGGGAGATACAGTATCTAGACAAAATGGCGTCAGTCGCTTTGTACAATATTGATCTAGCTTATTCTATGTCTGATTCACTTAGTCAAGAGCTCAACGACAACACGCGCGGTGATGTCGGACTGTTCTCGGTGACATTTTCCCTCATGATCACCTACGCCTCCATTGTTGCCGTCGGTGGAAATTGGGTCTCACAGAGGGGTAACCTGGGAAGGGCAGGCGTACTTCCGGCCGGACTAGCAATCATGGGTTCCTTCGGATTCTGTTCTGCCATCGGTGTGGACTTCGTCAACATGGTTGGAATCATGCCGTTCCTTATCCTAGGTAAATTAATTATTTCATTCTGTTTGACACTTCAGCATATATGATTGCACCGATCTTGTCAACCTAATAGTACATGTATGTTTCCCACCTATTTACAAATACGTATTGTAAGATAAGTGTTGTTTATTCATTTTTAAAACTATATTCTTATGTTTACCAACAGGTATAGGCGTTGATGATATGTATATCCTGATGTCCAGTTTGGCCGATGCACCGTTTGGGGCTAGCGTGGAAGATAGAATAGCATTCACATTGCAAACCAGCGGCGTGGCCATTACAATTACCTCCCTCACAGACTTCATTGCCTTCATGGCTGGGACGTTGTCAGTTTTCAAAAGCGTCCGTAACTTCTGTTTTTACACAGGTAAAATATAAGTTTGAATATTCATATTTTGGACTTATTTTATTTTTGCATGAAGAAAATTATATCTCCACATTGTATGTTTAAGTAAAATTGTGCATTCAGAAGCAATTCAGTTCAAATAGCACAGAGAGCGCATAAAATATCACAAAAATCACATCATTATTAATTCTGTCATTTATTCAACGCCTACAACCATATTTGCTACAACTTGAATTTCACCCAATTCCATTTTCTATTTGCTAGGTGTCGCTGTCGCCTTATGCTACATAAACGTCATCACCTTCTTCCTCGCGTGCATGGTTTTGCACGAGCGACGTGTGGCTCAGAACCGTCACTGCCTGACGTGCATTCCATTGATGACAGGGGAGGAGAGTAGGAAAGCTAACAAGTCCACAACTCACCTGTACTGCTGCACCGGTCGACCGCCTAAATCGAGAGAAGAATACGAAAGTGTCTTTGAAAAATTTCCACGTCTCTTTCTTCCAAAAGTTGCTCTATTTAATCCAGCAAAAATCGTTACTTTAGTTACGTATGTTATATATCTAGCTGTCTCTATTTGGGGAGCATGCAATTTAGAAGAGGGTCTTAAACTGAAAAACTTAGTATCCCCAGATTCCTATTATTATCGGTTTAATCAATGGAACTATCACTATTTTGACCTGAAGATGTTGGTGACATTTATTGTTCCAGAGCATAACGATTTCTCAAACCCGCGTACTTTTGATTCAGTTCAAACACTAATGAGTAACGTTAAATCTGACCACAAAATTGACAATAGATACGAAATAAACTGGCTGAAAACAATGCAGGAAACAGGATTTTATGACAGAAAATCAAACGTGTCTGAGAAAACATTTGTAAAATCTGTACATAGTTTCGTTAAAACGTACAAAGCCTTTCAAAATGATGTCGTTTTCGATGAAAAAATTGAAAAGATCATTGCTGCCAAGTTTCACTTGTTTACCGGAAATGTAAAAACATCACAAGACCAGGGAGGTTTAATGTTGCGCATGCGCGAATTCGCTTCCGACTCTGAGTTAAATGTGTTCGCGTTCTCACCTTGGTTTATCTACTTTGAGCAGTTCGTGGCTGTACTTCCTAACACACTACAGACGGTTGGTGTGGCTGTCCTTGCCGTTTTTATTATCACGTGTTTATTTATGCCCAGTCCGAAAATCATTCTGTTCGTCACAGTTTCGATGGCGTCGATTATTTTAGGTTTGGTAGGCTTCATGCATCATTGGGGCCTCTCTTTAAGTTCCATAACAATGATTCATGTTATCATGAGTGTCGGTTTTTCTGTAGATTTCTCCGCCCACATTTGTCACGCGTTTATGACGGCCGACGGCACGGATAGGAACGCACGTGTCAACACGGCCGTTATCCGAGCGGGAGGACCTATTTTTAACGGCGCATTTACATCCATCCTTGGAGTTTTTATGTTGATATTTTCTAAATCATACGTGTTTGTGTCATTCTTTAAAGTGATGACTCTCGTGATTATATTTGGCGTGTTTCACGCAGTTCTCGTCTTACCCGTGGTACTGTCGTTATTTGGTCCCGATCGATCTCTTAGTGTCACTGAGGAGGTATATGGCGCACATAACAAAAACGGTAACGCGGTTCAGATGAAAAACGGCGAGATCAACCATGCGTATCAAGTAGAAAAAAATGGTAATTCATAGAGGGGATCCCGATTCTGAAACTCTAGTAGAGGAACAACACGTCATACCTCAGTAATTGCTATAATCTAAGTAATGCCAAAGTGTCGATTAGTATTATATGAAAAATATTTCCTTCCCTGTACATTAAAATTATGGAATTCACTAGACACTTCATTAAGTACTGCAGAACAAATATCAAGGTTTTAAATTCAAATCTCTAAGCGAAACAAACCTGTAACTAAACTGTATGTAGGCAACAGAAAGTTAGACGTAATACATGCTAGACTTCGTCACGGCTATAGTGCTTTGATTGCAGATCTCTTTAAAGTTAATTTAGTCTTATCTCACGATTGTTACTGTTCTTATCTGGTAGAAAACAACTATCACTATCTTTTTCAGTGTAACCGATTTGATAAATGCTACATTGTTCAGAAAGGTATCTAGATATGGTGTTTTTATTGATCTGTATGTTCTGAAATACTAAGTCAGAAGGATAACGAAGCTAAACGATAGTTTGTACAAGAATATATAAAAAAAATACAAAACGTTTTGAATAATTATTTTAATGTTGAAATTATATGATGAGATCGAGTTTCTGTTTGGCCTTTTTCAGAGAGAGAGAGAGAGAGAGAGAGAGAGAGAGAGAGAGAGAGAGAGAGAGAGAGAGAGAGAGAGCACTGTCTGAAGAAGTTTGATTTCATATGCTGAATTTAGTGTTTATATTATATCTATACGTGTTACTATTCCCAACAATTTCATATTTCGTCTGTTACTCTGATACATCATCATTTAGCAATTATGCGATGTGTTAAAGGTCAACATATTCCTATGCCAATGCTTGTATTAATACGACATTACTTTGCCAATGCTTGTATTAATACGACATTACTTTGCCAATGCTTGTATTAATACGACATTACTTTGCCAATGTTTGTATTATTACGACATTACTTTGCCAAATTATTAAAACTGTAATTGTATATCATGTAAAAGTCACTGAAGTAGGTACTGGTCTGTAAATAATATATATTTCCATCTATGTATGTTAATGTGATTTTTATTTATAAATATTATTGTATATAGTATGCTGCCCATTGCATTATTGATACCATTATGTAATTGCTAATGAAACGGGCGTTTTTAAGTTGTAATAACTTGTGTCCAATTCCTTTTGATTTATTCAAATAAAATATGTTTAAACTAAACTAAACTAAGATGATTGAAGTAAAAATTATTTGCGGAGAACATAGGGTAATGCAACAGACTGTCGTTAGTCTGACTTAGTGTATTGTTCCGTTTGAAATTGAATTGTTTGTGAAACATTAAACCGTGATTTCTTAATATTAAAGACTTAATTCAAGAGGTTCTAAACACAGCTGTGAGCATTTAGGGGCTACCAGTGAATAACCCACTCCCGATCGCTCACTCAATGTATCAATCTCTCAAACATTCGGAGAAAATGATAGAAATATTTGAGGAACCCATTGGGTAAACGACTGTGATATTTGTTTCACTTACATTTTGATAGAGTAGTTACGCTTTGTTCAGTTACATGTATTTCGAACAGTTCTTTGAACAGCAAATTCAGTTTTGACAACAAACAAATTGGTGATGTCACAATAGAGATTGATGACGTTACAATAGCAAAATGTTTTTTATAGTCTCATAACGGCATTTGCCTTCTCAATGCATTTTAAAAAAATGGAAGGATGCAGAGGAAATGTAAATGATCATTCTGTTACTTGAATAACAATTGTCTTTCTAATCTTACAACCCCCACCTTCGGCACACCCAACAACTCCCCCATCCACCCCTTTAAAGTTAATTTTAAAGAGTACGGACAGGTACAACGTGGACGAAAAATACCCCTAGGAAAAAGCAATGTACAATATAAGTGTCTTATTTGTTTGTCATCAAAATAAATTCTTGAAAGGTAATCAGATTCTTGTTGTGATTCTTATCTGCTCTGGCACATGTGCAACACTATCGCATCGTTGAGACTGAAAGGTGGCGTATATTATAAATCACGTGACAACAATTATTGATATACTTTTGACTTTAAACATTTATTGACCAAAAGGGGTAAAAAAGATTTATTATAATTTATGAAGCAATCTCTCCTATCAACATTTCCATAATGTAATGATCTCATAGACAGCCCAATACAAATCGATAAGACAGTCTAGGTCAGCATGTGTGAGTCAAGGTCATAATAAACATATCTTGTCGGATATAAAAGACGTTTGCGCATGTCTAAATACATATGTACATATTGCAAATCCCATGGCAGGTTATTATCACCAAACACTAGTTACAAGTAATCAAAGCCTATTTGCAGATTTCAGTTGTTTTAGTATTGAAACAGTACTGATGGGTGTAAGTCATAAAATTGATTGGCTCTCAAAAGGCGCGATAGGCATTTGCGCAATGGTAGCAATTGTTTCCACAATTTGAATGTTGCACTATGTTGACAAAGTGGCTGCACCGGATACAATGTAATTTATTTATTCAAACATGTATTTCATGTAATCCTTAATTGCCAACAATTCATTCAACGTCCTGGAAAGCATAATGGACAGTTACCTCTGTACATTTTGTTATCCTGAAAATAAAAACTCAAAGAATACGACGTAATGCATATATACATGAACAGTAATTATATTAAGCTATCTGATATTTTGATACGCTTCCAAGTGCCACGTGCTTTCTTTGCGCTGATACATGTACTAGCAGCGGGAACCGTAGCTTATTGTCCGATAGATTTATGTTTTTTGGTATTTTATCCCACAGACTTTTGAGCTACGGTATCCAGCCGATTAAAAACTCAAGATCCAGCAGCTGGAATGTGACTGCTTCACCAAACACTATATATATTTTAACTATTCCACAACATTTTCATATATTGACATACGTTCATTGGGCTTGTTCTCAGTTCCCCACTTTTTATAATAACATTGGGGATGAATGTTGTTAGAAGAATTATAGTCGGTTTCTGAGTAGTATTGGCAGTAATTACCTGTATTTACCTTTGTTTTACCTGTGGTTAATAATAATAATAATAATTATTCAGGTAAAAGGCAAATAATACACGTTTATCACATTTTGCAGATTGGACATAAATAGATATATTATCACAGAATGAGATGTTATTTATTAGTTATTTATGCCATAAAACTAGTAATCAGTCAGGTGTTAAAACTGGATTGCATTAGATTAATTTAGGCCTTTACCTGGGATGACACATAAATTCACATTGTGGCTCAATTCAAATGGGGTCCCTTATATCTAAATAAATCAATTCAATTCATAAAAATAGTTACATAATTATATAGTATATATTGATAACTTGATAAGACTCTAAGACACTTCTTTTATAAAAATAGATATAAAATGTTACATGTGCCATAGGCTATAATCAATAAAATATTGCTGGTTCATGTATTAAATTATTCGAAATAAGGTATGTTTCCAGTTGTTTGTATACTGCCCTCTCAAGTACTTTCGATACATTGCAGAGAATAAAGACTGGTCGATAGTTTTCAGCCTTTAATCTGTCACATTTATGAATAGAGGTTTTACTTTTGCCATTTTCATTCCTTCAGGTACTTTACTTCCAGATATAGATGTATTTATAAGAAAAGTAATTGGAATTTTTAACACTGATGCTGCATCTTTAAGAAAGCGAGCAGGAATGCTATCCAGGCCTGTACTTTTAGAAGTTTTAAGATTACAAAGTTCTTTAAACACAAATTATTCACTAGTATGTTTCAAATGAAAGTTTTCTCTAAATAAATAAGAAGTAGTATTGTAAATTCCCTTAAAGCTTGGCAGTCTTTCCACAGGTTTGGCAGTAATAGTTGTAAAATATAAGTTAAAATAATTAGCAATAAAAAATCCATCATGGCAATTTTTGTTGTTTATGTTAAGTACGACTTTTGCATCGGATTTTGTATCCTTTTTTTAGCCAAGTTTTAAAAATCTTTTCCATATATTTTAGAGCTGTTCTTATTTTCAGATATTTGTTCATCAAAATAATCAACCTTGGCTTTTTTTACAATTCCTTTGAACTAAATTTCTGTAAAAGCAGAAAGTTTTGTTATCTTCAGTTTTACCTGACTTTTTAAATGTAAATAAAAATGAATATCTCTGCTTGATAAGATCCAAAATTTCAGCAGACATCCATGGTTCTGTTCTTTGTTTAATGCGAACCTGTTTTACTGGGGCAACTTCATCAAGTACCATCATAAATATATTACAAAAAGTGGTCCATGACTCGTTAACATCTTTACCATTAAAAAGGTCTTCCCAGTTGGATTCAGCTAATTTCTTAACAAACACATCTTTGTCATAATTTTTGGTTGAACGTATTTAGTTACATTATGGTGCCTGTTAAAAACACCTTTGCTGGTTTTTCTGGTACAGGATGTTAAAAAATGGTCACTGATACCAATAGGGATAACACCTGACTGACTAATGCGTTTTTCATTGTTACAGATAATGTGATCAATAAGTGATTTGCTGGTTTCTGTTAACCGTGTAGCATGCATGATAATTTGGTTAAAATTAAACAATTTCAAAACATTGGTATACGATTGATATAAAGGTCCTTGCTTATCAAGGCAGCAAATATTGAAGTCTCCAAGAATAATAATTTCGCAGTCTGCTCTTAGTTGCAGCAATATTTTTTTCAAACTGTTCTATAAAATCAGATTGTTTGGGTGGTCTGTAGCAGGTGCCAACAATGATAGGTTTGGTTTCAGGCAAGTGTATTTCGATAAAAAGAGTTTCATCCAATTCATTATCCTCCAGATTCAGAGTTGTAAACGCCAGATCGTCTCTTATGTGTGTGCATACTCAGCCCCCTGTCTTTTTCCTGTCTTTTCTGACTACTTTATATCCCTCAATGTTAATTTCAGAGTTAGTCACTGAGTAGTCCGAATTATTCTGACGTTTTATCGACTTTTTTCATATCGGTCTGTCGTTAATCGCCGCCTGACCGATATGAAAAAAGTCGATAAAACGTCAGAATAATTCGGACTAGTCACTGAGCTATCCAGCCAGGTTTCGGTTATAGATAAAATCGATGCTCTGGACTAGTTAGCTACTATTTGGAGTTCACTGATTGTAGGTAAAATGGATCGGGCATTCAGATGTGAAAAATGTAGTTCCTTTTGTTTAAAACATTGGAAGTGATTAGAGTTCTCAGTAGATGGTAATTTCGAAAATTACGTGTTTACGTGGTTAACCCTTCTATCTAGTAGGGTGGTGTTCTATCTAAGCTGGAAGCTGATCATATATATTTTAATAATACATCATATAAGACTTTCAAATGTTTAATAACAAATGGTAATTCAAAATATTTCAATATTAATTATATCCATTCTGTAGTCCTTATGCTGCTGATATGACATATAATAAGATGAAATGTGTTTTTTATTTTGTAATAATTTTTACTTTAAACATATTAATTAAAATAATAATATAAATAGTTATAAAATGAAACTTTTCTTAATTATTGTAACATTTAATAAGATGCCTAAATACCTAGTAAGAATGATAATGTGTGACTAAGAATGTGGTGTTTAACAGTTGATAATTAAACTGTAAAAAAAAAGAAATTAGTCTAAATTCCTAGATGTTAGAAGTATGTAACACAGCAGCCGTTAACACACGTAACAGTTGATAATAGTTATGTTTATTCATAGACGTTAATCGACAATCTCATTACAACGTCAAGTACAGGTGGTTACAACATCTCATTACAACGTCAAGTACAGGTGATTACAACATCTCAAGTACAGGTGATTACAACATCTCAAGTACAGGTGGTTACAACATCTCATTACAACGTCAAGTGCAGGTGATTACAACATCTCTTCTACGTATAGTAATACTTCACGTTTTGTCTCTGACTTCGAGCTAAGTAACTAGGCCAGGTGATTACAACATCTCTTCTACGTATGGTAATACTTCACGTTGTGTCTCTGACTTCGAGCTAAGTAACTAGGCCAGTGCCAAACCATGGCCAGTGTCCCCATACGCTGTCTCTCTGAACCTGGGTCCAAATTGACCTGTCCCTTCTCAAGGCCAATTCCCAACCCCTTGGATTTGGGATGCACTCCGTTAAATACGTTTTCCAGTACATATGTTACATCATAGCCCACAGCCATCATCTGTCCTTATACATATACACCTGTCATCATAAACACTTGGTACATACCTATGTGACTATAATTACTCTAAGTATTACATGTACCCTTTAGGCTACTGTTAAAATATATATCCAAAAATACCGTACATATCACATACACAGAAAAGCTACAAGTCAGGCAGGTAACTTTCACACAGGTAAGTTACTGTGGGGTAAGTATGAATCAGACTTTAATTGGTTTGCCACATTTCTTTGTTCTCTAAACACCCCGTTCAATGTCAATATATTCGACTTCTCAATATATTACATATTGTAGACTCTTTTTCCTGGGAATGTACTACTACTGTTATGCTTTTGAAACAGATTCTGAACATCAGTTCACGTGCGAGGATGCACTGAAACTGGACAGAGCATCCACTCTTC